TTTAAAACAACATTTATTTGTTTGTTTGTTTATTCAATTTATCTGCTACCCGTCTGGCTGCAGGCTTACTCTAACAATGGTTGCCAAACAATGGCTGGCTGAGGAATTATAGCAGTTGAAGTCCACACCCCCTTCAAGTGGTCAAAGTTGAGAAACACTGCATTAGGGCCTTCCCAAACTTGGGGTGTATCTCCAGATGAGCCCAAATATTTCAGCCTGTAGGAACATTGGAGCTAGTTTCCTCACTCAGCTACTGTGACGCTCAAATGCACGCTGCTGCTTGAGTTCACGGAACATCCTCAAATAATCGGGTTACACTGAACACTTTTTTAAAAAGTCTTTGTTTATTTACATCCCTCCTTTATTGTTTTTACAAATCACTCGAGGTGGTGAACATGCTTAATACAACTTCTGCCTCCTATTTTCCCCATAACAACCACCCTGTGAGGTGGGTTGGGCTGAGAGAGAGGAACTGGACTAAGGTCACCCAATCAAATTTCACTGGGCTGGACTAGAACTCACCACCTCCTAGTGATTGCCCCCAAATCACCAAGTGATCTTTCTTGCCTAAGTAAGGCAGGACTAGAACTCACAATCTCCTGGTGATTGGCCCAGTGTCACCTAGCCAGCTTTCATGGCTAAGGCAGAACTAGAACTCACTGTTTCCTAGTGATTGGTCCAAAGTCACTCAGTGGCCTTACTTGCCTAAGGAAAGACTAGAACTCACCGTTTCCTGGTGATTGGCCCAGAGTCACCCAGCCAGCTTTCATGGCTAAGGCAGAACTAGAACTCACCATTTCCTGGTGAATGGCCCAGAGTCACCCAGTGGCCTTTCTTGCCTAAGGCAGGACTAGAACTCACCATTTCCTGGTGATTGGCCCAGAGTCACCCAGTGGCCTTTCTTGCCTAAGGCAGGACTAGAACTCACCATTTCCTGGTGATTGGCCCAGAGTCACCCAGTGGCCTTTCTTGCCTAAGGCGGGACTAGAACTCACCGTTTCCTGGTGATTGGCCCAGAGTCACCCAGTGGCCTTTCTTGCTTTCCCATTTTCTAACCTGGTGCCTTACCCCAGGGGTGGGATTCAAATTTTTTAACAACCGGGTTTGTGGGCGTGGATATATGGGCGTGGCTATGTGGGTGTGGCTATTTTTTGCAGCACCTCTCCTTTTTTTTTTTTGCCTCCTGGGCCTTAGGGAAGCCTCCAAGCGGGTGGCGTTTTTGCTCTCGGAAAGCTTTCCTGGGGCCCAGGGAAGCAAAAAAATGGAGTGTGGGGGGGGCACAGTGCGCCTGTGCGCCATTTTTGGGCCTCCTGGGCAAAGCAGTAAGACAGAGAGAGGGATCCTGGAACAGCTGATCATCGGAACAGCTGATTGTTGGGAGGGAGGGAAAAGAAATACCTTAAGGAGTGACTGGGCGCAGGAGAATGCAGTCGGCAATGTTGGGCATGCGCGATAAGGACTGACTGGGTGGGAAGGGGAGGGGCAGGTGGAGAGGGGAAGGGCCAGCCAGGGTTATGATTTGCCGGTTCGCCAAACTGCGCAGAATCATAATAACCAGTTCGATAGAACCAGTCCAAACCAATAGAATGCCACCCCTGCCTTACACACTAAAGCTATTTTCTGGGTTCACCATCATGGATCTTTCCACTAATTAAACCTATGGCTGGAATTCACACCCTTTACCTTACTCCAAAGCAAGCCATCTTCTTTTAATGCCCCTTCCCCCAAATTCAGCACGCTGAATCAACATGTCCGTTAGACATTCTCTGACCTGGTTAAAATAGATTGCTCTAGTCGGCCCCCAAATCGGCCCTTAATCTGTCAAGCGAGGCCTCCTCCTTTTTCACATTGTGTTGGCCTGGAATGTCGTGGTCACAACTGGATTTTTTGTGTGCGTGCTGGAAAGTTGTGGGTTGCATGACTCATGAGAAAATTGCACATTGGTGGCGCAGGCGTTCCTTAAGAGATCGGAAATTTTCATTTTGTTTTCATGCTCAAGTATGCCAGGGGAACCAAGTCATTCGTAAGCTATAGAAGGGAGGAATGCCTTCTGCACATGCATAGAAACACCCTTGCTCCTCCTCTGGGAGAGAAGAGAAGCCTGTTTTGATGTGTCTTTTTTTAAAAAACAAACAAACACAAGAACAAATTATAGTTGTTTCTAGGACAGTATTGGGAACTTCCTAATGCCTGGACTTAATTTATCCAACCTTGGGAACATCTTAATCCATGGACTTCAACTCCCAAACTTCCCCAAGCAACTTGGCTGGTTGGTGAATTCTGGGAATTGAAGCCCACACTTCTTAAAGTTCCCAAGATTGATTAGCAATGCTCTAGAATAGATCCATTCCTAAAAGACAGTAGTCTTCAAGGGTTTCCCCAGGTGCAATCAAGCATCCCAATCCCGATTTGTAGTTTTGTAAACCCAGATATTAGGGTGGTTATGATGGAGCCCAACCAGCGCCTGAATGAGGAAAGAGCTTTGTTATACCATCAAAGAGAGGAAAAATAGCTTGTATAAATCCCAAAGGTGTTTCTCAAATGGCAACTGGACTTAGTTTTTTGGTTTTCCCTTGAAGACATTTCGCTGTTTCATCCAAGAGGCTTCTTCAGTTCTGATGAGAAACGAATCGTCTTCAAAGGAAAAACGAACAAACAAGGAAGTCTAGTTGTCTTTTGGAAAAAGCACCTTTTGGGACAACCGTGTCCTGGGTGATTGAGAAGTTCTACCGACATTCGGGTGGTATAAATCTAAAAAATTGATATATTGGTACCTGGGCCTTTAATTCTGGATGCTCTTTATAATCCAGATCAAGAACCGAGGAAGGGATGGTCGAAATTCTTCTCAGTGTGCTTTTAAACCAGGGGGGAACAAGCCAACGTTTAACCCTGGATGGAATCAGTTCTTTCTCTTCTTCTTCTTCTCCTCCTCCTTCTCTCTCTCTTTCTTTCTCTCTCTTTCTTCTCCTCTCTCTCAATCTCTCTCTCTTTTTCTCCTTCTTCTCCTTCTCCTTCTCTTTCTTTCTTTCTCAATCTTTCTTTCTCTCCTTCTCAATCTCTCTTTCTCTCCTCCTCCTCCTTCTCTATCTCAATCTCTCTTTCTCTTTCTTTCTCTCCTACCCTCTCTCTCTCTCTCTCCATGTTCAATGACACACTTGTTTCAAAGGCTTTGATGACTGGTGGCTATTAGCAGGGGTGGGTTTCTACCAGTTCTGTCCACCTCTGTAGAATCGGTAGCTTTGAAGAGCAGCAGACATAGAACCGGTTCTATGCTGCTGTTTTGTCCTACCCGCCTGCCCAGGCTCTTATCTGACCTTTATTTCCTGCTTTTTCAACTTCAGCTGCCGTGTGAGGCACAGCTGCAGTTTAAAAAGCAGGAAAAAAAAAGTGCTTTTTGAAAGGCTGCTTCTCTGCACACAGCGTGCTGATGATGATTTACAGGTGCGTCCGGCAGCGTGCAGGGAAGCACATCGTAAATCACCCAACCTTGTAACTCACCAAACCAGTAGTTAATCCTGTCCGATCCCACCCCTGGCTATTAGCTACTACAGGTAGTCCTCAACTTATGACCAGAATTGGCACCAGACAACCTGTTGCTAAGCAAAGCAATTCTTAAGTGACTCTGGCTTGCCCCATAGATTTTCCCTGTCAATAGCCGGCCAGGAACGTTGCAAATTGCAATGACCGTGGGACATCTCAACCAGTGGTGGGATTCAATGTTTAACCCCAGATGGAGTCAGGAGAGGGAAAAGTTTTGTGAAGAAAGGAATTCTCTTCCCTCTGAGTATAAGAGGAGAATGCAGCTGCTGCTGTTGCCAAGCCATAGAGCTAAAAACCAGCTGAACCAGGATTGATAAAACCCGTTTGGCTTGCTCCAGGCATGCATCAGCAACGCCGAGATAGAGCCAACCATCTAATGTATCCTCGTCATATCACACGAGTTGGGCCTGTGGGTGTGCGATGGTGCAGAGGCCGATTGGCGTGTTCCATGTGGACAAGTTTTATTGATACATTTCTGCACCACCCGTCTCGCTTAAACGAGGCTAGGCGGCTTAAAACAACGGTTACTAAACCATCATAGTCCATTCCACCTCTACAAGGAGGCCTGCTGGTATGTTCCAGCCTGCTCCATTCAAGATGGACTGGACTACAATGCCCATAATGAAAGCTGTGGTATAGTCCCCTACATTTGATGAGGGAGGTCAATGGTAGGAAAGAGCCTTTCTCTCTCTCTCTCTCTCTCTCTCTCTCTCTCTCTTTCTTTCTTTCTTCTTTCTCCTTCTCCTCCTTCTCTCTCTCTCTCTTTCTTGCAGCACCCCGCACCCCTGCCACCCCCATTTTGGGGGCCTTCTGGGCCTCAGGCAAGCATCCTGAGGGGGGCGTTTTTTCTCCCAGAAGGCTTTCCTAGGGCTCAGGAAGGCAGAAAATTGTGCCGGGGCGCACACACACACCCACCACTTCATTTTGGGGCCTTCTGGGCCTCAGAGAAGCCTCCTGTGGGGGTGTTTTTGCTCCCAGAAGCCTCCCCTCAGGAAAGGGAAAAAAAACAGAGGGGTTGCCTTCCTGGGCCTCAGGGACGCCTCCCTGACAAAGCAGTAAGCAAGTAAGGGGAATCCCAGCACAGCTGATCATGGGAACAGCTGATCGTTGGGAGGAGAGAAAAAAGAAATACCTTAAGGAGTGACTGGGTGGGCTAGCATCAGGCAGGTGGGGTGAGTGAGCATCAGACCAGGTGGGGCAAGCAAGGAGCAGCGACCAGGTGACTGGGTCAGGGGAATAGCCAGGCAGAAGTTACTACCAGTTTGGTGACCCATGCCAAATCTTTGCAACCAGGTCGCCCAAACCGGTGTGAACCGACTGAATACCTTCGGTGGGTGCAGGGGATGCTTCTGACAAATGGCACCCTTCCGAGCTATTTTATATCAGCAGATAGAGAAGTGAATCTGGATTTTGGGGTCCTGAGAACCACATCGCAAAGAGTTGTTCCGAGAAGACACATCCGTTTTGCCAGAAGACATTTTAATGCTGGTGGGTGAAGGAAAGAAACCGGGGAGGGATCCCAGACGAAGTGAATGGCGGATCCCTTCTGGGAATCCCCCGTGACTGACGGACTGCAGCTTCTTTGTTTCTCTTCCAAAGATCAAGACGCCCAAATGGACAGAGGCATCTTCCAAGCATCTCTAGGCTGCAAAATAAATGAGAGGATGAATATTATTAGTTCTTCAGATTTCCCTTTTGGTATTAATTCTGTTATCTTCTAGCCCTTTGTTCTTTTCTTCTTTCTTTCTTTCTTTCTTTCTTTTTTCCTTCTTTTGCTCTTTTTCCTCATTCCCATTTCCTTCCTTCCTTTGTCCCTTCTTTCCTTCTTACCTTCCTGAATTCCCATTTCCTTCTTTCCTCCCTCCCTCCCTTCCACCCTGCCTCCAATTCTCATTTCCTTCCTTCTTTTCATTACCATCTCCTTTCTTCCTTCTTTTTATTGCTATCTCCTTCGTTCATTCGTTCGTTCCTCCCATCCACACTCCCTCCAATTCACATTACCTCCCTTCCTTCTTTTCATTGCCATCTCCTTCCCTTCTTCCTTCCTTCCTTCTTTCCATCCACCCTCCCACCAATTCTCATTGCCTTCCTTCCTTCTTTTCATTGCCAACTCCTTCCCTCCCTCCTTCCTTCCT